AACATTAATTTGTAGAGATATATTATTTATAGTGGATAAGAGCTGCAAACCAACTAAATACCCATCAATAGAAGGATAAATAATATCTGTATCTATATATCTATATCTATATATATACCACATTATAAAAAAAGAAGGAAAAAATAATATCCTCCCATTTGCAACAAAATGGATGGAGTTAGTGGGTATTAGGTTAAGTTAAATAATTCACTCAGAGAAAGACAAATGATATATGATTTCACTTGTATGTGGTATATAGAGAAAATAAACAAATAAACTAAATAATGCAAAAATAAACTTTAGACCATAAGATCAATTATTTGTTAACAGAAGGAAAGTAATGGTAAATCAAGTCAGTGGAGACAATTGTATGGTGAAGGTTAGAACTGGACTTTTAGTGGTGAACTTAATGTAGTAAATACACATTGATTTATAATAATGCACACTTGATGTGCCTCCTCTGGTGGCGCAGGCGGTTGAGCACAGCGCTCTGTAGCTGTCTGCAGCCTCTCGGCATGGATTCGATCTCGGCGGGCCCAAGAATCCCACATGGCACTGCTCCTTTCAGCAGTGTATTTCAGTCAGTCTGCCTCTTCTGTTTCCTGCTCTGTCTCTGGTGAATCCTCTCACCCTTCCGCGCATCTGGTCTGTACCATGGTTCTTGTATGAATGAATAAATAAATCTAAAAAATAATAAAATAAATATAATAACGCACACTTGAAACATATATTATAATCCAATGTTACCTCAATTTTCAAAAATGAATTTTAACTTTAATATGATATCTTAATTTAAATAAGTATACTCATGTTTATTGAGATGACTTCGCTCTTATTCTCAAAGATTGGGGTCCTTTTCTCATGTATCCAAGTTGTAGTCAAGCAGAATTCAGTAAAGGAGTCTGTTACAAGGCTGTCAAAAGACTGAAGTATTTTATCTTGATGATGAGTTCTACCTCTCAATTCTGTAACTAGTTGAAACAGGAGAGAATTTGAAAACAGCTCCCATATCATTCTGCTAGCAGAAATGGGATCTACTGATGACATAGAGGCAACTGTGACTTCAAATACTCTCAGCCCCATTTACCAAGCCCAAAACTTCTTTTTGTAATTTTTTTGCTATCCTTTAGAAGTGTTACAAAATGAGCTTAAGATCAAAGGGTGTAGAACACACAGATCCCAAGGGCTCAGTTATCTCTTAACACATGCCCACTTAACTTAGCCAGGCAGACTATCTATCTCTGTGCTTTGAAATCATCCAGACAATTCTGACAGCCTGAGTTTTCCCATTCATGCCATTGACACTGAATTTGAACTCAACTTCCATACAGCATATAGCCATGTGACTGTTTCAAATGCCAACATTTTGATATTGTGGCATTATTTTCTCCCATTTCTAACAAATTACATGATTTAATGAAATTGCCCATGCTGGACCCAATTTTAAAAGTTCATGTATGATGATGTGTATGTATATCAGTGTTTATAGTGATGGAAAATCTCCAGAAAGCAGGACCGAAGTCCTATAAACACTAAAATATTTCTGTTAAGTAAGTCCACTTTGGGAAAAGCTCTGTCACATGGTTTTTGCACATAATTGCCTCACCTCTGGACTGCTGCTTTCACATCTGGCTTAAGCCCCGTGAGGTGGAGGCTGGTTTTCACTGTAACCCGATGGCAGTTTGCCTGTGTTTTGAGTTTGAAAATGTAGTTGGTTAAAATTTTGAAACAAGGGGTTGGAATTTAACCATACTTCCCTCCCTGCTTCAATGACTTGGAGGTGGAGCCAACATCTGTGTGCATGTTTGTGTGTGTATGTGTGTGTGCTGGTTATGGGACAGGGTGAAGAGAGTGTGGGAAAGGAAAACACCTGCTACTCTCTAATTTAACTTTTTCCAGGACGGAATTTCGGAATTTCTTATCGTCAGCAATGTTTCAATACTCCAGAAGGAAGTGCAGACAAAATGAAAACCGAGTTGTTGCAAAATTAAAATTAACAGTGTTAAGGTATGTGTGTCTGGGGTGGAAGGGGCGCTTTATTTTATTAATTATAGGTATCCTCAGGTTTTCTCACAGAACAAACATCCTAATAAGCAACAGCTCAAATACCCAGAAAATTATGACATTGGGCTTGAGGCAAACCAAAGATGAATTTTCTTTCAATATCCTCATATGAACCTGGCAAAAATAGACAAATAGGCATAGTAAGTGAGGCAGAGGAATTTGTGCAAAAATCCCAACTGTTAACTGAAATGATAACTCCTAAAATGATAGCATTTGCTATTTTTAGGTTCATACTACATATTCAGTACAATTTAAAAAGTGTTAAGAAAGTCACTTGATCCCATCCCCCACCTGTCCATAAATGGGGTTTCTGCTTCTGCCCCACTTGCTAAAAGTAAAAGTAGTGTAAAACATTGCAGGTTTCCCCATCCTCTCATGGTTTTCCCCCTCAGAGAGAGGTGCACTATACCTAGTAGTGAAGAAAATCGATCATTCAGCAATTGGTTCATAACTTTCGGTGGGGTCATGATAAGATTAGAGGTTATAATCACTGGTGCTCTGATTCTTTTGGACTCTCTAGGCTTAATGTGATACAGGGACAGTTATAATTGCCCATGTGATGATGTTGTCACAGAACCAATCACTCTGATGGTATGATGACCTGCTCAGTATTCCTCAGACACATGTCACACTGGTAGCAACTGGCAGTGTTTGGATTCAGATGCATTTTGTTTGATCTGAAAGTTCATACTCTCTTCATTATGTTACAAAGATTCAAATGTATTTATGTACATTTGTATATACATTATATACAAAGGTTCTAATGTATTTATATAGCCCTGGGCATATTCAACAGTCCAATATATCAGTCAAGATTCTTTGGGTTGTAATTTACAGACATTGTCTCAAACTTGCTCACATAAGAATGAGTACTTTTTTGTGATTTCAGGGATAGCTCATGTCACCCAGGGACAGGAAGTACAGTTTATGACAGACAGGAACAGAAATTGGAATATCATCAGGAAACAAGGTGACTGCTCTCCTCACCCCATGGGGATTTATGCTCTATCCTATTCATTTTCTTTCTCTGAGCAGTGGGTTTTAAAATGTCACATGTCTGGTAGAAAACACTTATAAGCTTCTTTACCAGCTCTCCTGATAAATAACCTCCCAAATGTACCATCATTGGTTGATAACCAGCTCTGTCAAATGTCCATCTCTGTCCTGTGTTTGGGAACACAAGCCTGTTGGTGAAGACCCGTTTGTGGAGTAGGGCGTGATGAATACACCCAAATGGTATAATCACAGCATGTCTACATCTCCTCATTTGAAAAATGGGAAGACTAGACTAGATAACTTAATAATAATATGACATATTTTATCCAAAGGACACAGAAATATTAATTCAAAAGGGCACCTGCACCCCTATCTTTATAGTAGCACTATTTATAATAGCTAAGGTATGGAAACAACCCACATGCCCCAAAATAGATGACTGGATCAAGAAGATGTAGTACATGTACACAATGGAATATTACTCAGCAATCAAAAAACATAAATTCATGCAATTTGCAGCAACATGGATGGAGCTATAAGAGATCATGCTCAGCGAAATAAGCCAGAAAGAAAAAGAAAAATACCAGATGGTCTCACTCATAGCAGGAATTTAGAAAACCTAAATAAGGGACCAGAAAACAGACTAATTATAATAAAGTAAAACCCAAAATCAACAAGCAACTATCAACCAGAGACACAGTACAGTATGGTGGGCGGGGGGAGGAGAGAGTAGAATCAAAATAAGGAGGGTGGGAATTGTATGGGTTGATAACCAAGATGAAAATGCATACATTGTGCAAAAATGAAAAATGATGTAAAAATGTATAAAATAAAAAAGAAAAGAAAATTTAAAAAATATTTTAAGTAGTAATAAAAATAATAAATATTGGTAGCAACTACATCTTTGTTTTGTTTTAGGTGCTTGGCAAAGCCATTTCCATGAGTTATCTCATTAAATATAGTATTAACCTGATGAGGTAACAAGTAATATTGTCCTATTTTACAAGTGGTATCAGTGAGACCTGAGAGGTTAAGGAAGTTTCCAAAGATGATCTGTAAAGTGACTTATAGTTCCAAAATGCTGTGGTTCTTCATTAAACATCATCGTCTGAATAAATCTCGCAAAGATAAGCATATTTTATTTCTTACTGTTAGGTCATTATTTTTTAAAGAAAGCTATAGCCTAAATAAAAATTGTCAAAATACATCTCAATGATCAAATTAATTATATTTAGATACCTAATTTTCTAAAAGGGATACAATGACTGATGAAATTAAATTATTGTCAAAATAGTCAGTAAATCTTCCAGAAAAAAAAAAAAAATTTCCAAGTAGGAAATGTTGAGTTTGTGGTTTAAAAAAAAAAAGTAAGTTGGGCCTCCCCTGGTGGTGCAGGCGGTTGAGAACTGCGTTGTGAAGCTATCCACAGCCTTTGCAGAGCCGGTTCGATCCCAGCCAGCCAGCGAGGGTCCCACATGGCACAGCAGACCTCTCCTGTCTCGCTTGCTGCTCCCCTCAGCAGTGTATTTCATCAGTCTCTGTTCTCCGCTTTGGCTCTGGTGAATCCTCTCAGCCTCCCGTGCATCCGGCCTGTACCCCGGTTCTTGTATAAATAAATAAATCTTTTTAAAAAAAAAGAAGAGGGAGGAAGGAAATAGGAAGGGAGAGAGGAAGGGAAGGAGGTAAGGAAGATCAAAGCAAATAGGAAACAAATCAAAAATCAAATTGTTTCTCAAATTTGAAAGACATGTATTTTCCTGTCAGGGGTCTATTGTTTCACAATGTTATTTTCAGAGTTGGCTATGTTACTCCATTCATGTTATCCTTTGAAAAGTTTCAACTCTGTGCCCAGACCTCTTTTCAAATGCAGCACAGCTGAAAAAGTTTCAAAAATACAGTCTTTCCCAATGATAAGTAGAAAAGAATGGGGAAATGTTCAATTAAGCAATTTTTATTTTCATACAGTATAATGAAAAGCTCTCCATTACTGCAGGAAAGTGATACAAATTCAGCAAAGCTCGTACATCAGTAGTGAAGTGTCCTTCACAGTTTCGCTGCAATATGCCCCATTTATGGATTTAACTGAAGACCAAATTTCATTTTGCATGTAATAACCATAGTAAAAAGATTTTTTTCCTCACCATCTAAGGATGGACATTATTACAATTATAGGAAGGCAACAGTCATTAAATAAATTAGAAGCATCTTTAAAGTTTTTCCATATACATATATAATATATATATATATTCAATTGCTGTCAACTGTACAAGCATTAACTCCTTAACTAAAACATTTACAGAAACTAGTATGGAAAACTGAAGGGAAGCCTTGGTTTTTAGAAAAGAAGCGCTGTTTAATCACCTATGAGCTACATTAAAATACGATTCTTAAGGGGAAAGAAGCTATACAGAGAAGTCAGACTTAACCCAAGATTTCTTATTTAATCTTACACATCAGGTGTGCATAGCTAGCTATTTCTCTAACCTAACCTTGATTCAACCAGGAAGTTAATATCCAGATGTTAGTTACTTGTTAGCATAGAAAAAATTGAAGGCAGGAAGACTAAATTGAATTATGTTATTCTACAAAACTGTTTATGACATACTGATAATTGCATTATACACATATCATTGTCTACGAAAATGTTAAATGGTCAACAGAAACTTTAAGGTAAAGATCTTAGTGAATAAATGATTATCATTTAATCTATAGCTAGATGAGTATAAAAATTATCTGGAATATTGTAGGCCAGAGATAAGGGGAATCCAATCTTCCAGTTTAAATTCTTCAACCCCAAATCCTGTAAATTGCATATTATTTACACAAATTACACTAAAATACTTTGAAAATTCTATATTGACATCAAAAATTCTATATTGACATCAGCAGCCCCTGAATTTGAATTCGAGAGAACGATTATTGAAAAAACAATTCCTTTTTTAAGTGACTATGTGTTTTTGTTCTCACATTTAGGAATGGGAATGGAGGATGGTTGGGAGAGTGGAGGGGGGAGGAAGAAGGAGACTGAGAGGCAGAGGGTGAGGGACATATGACTGAGGAAATGGCACTTATACTCTGTTCTCACCACTGTCACTTCATAGTAATTATATAGACATTAATACCTAGCAAATTGTTAGTCACTCAATTTTCTGACTATTTTATATAAATTTGTATTAATGTATTAACTCACTTACTGTAACACCCATAGGTGAACAGTAAGCCTTTTATTCTTTGGGAATAAGATATTTCTCACTAATACCATAATAGGTCCTCAACACATTAGTGAAATGATGTATACAAGACCTTCCAGAAATAACTATGAGCCAAAAACTAGTTTGATTGCTAAGGAACTAGCTACGCTCTTTCCTTGTATAATGATTTTTCATTTACAGTGCTACTGAAAACAAAATCTTAATTTCTATTTGGAAATTTTTAGGGGATATTTTTGACCATTGGAAGGATTTTATCTCTAATAAGTAGGCATCAAATCAAAATAAGATAGTAACAGGCATCTGGATAGAATAAGTTTAAGAAGTAATACTGGGAATTGCTAGAGGTTTAGGATGATATATCTCTAGAAAAAACTAAATTAAGAATTCTATCAAATCTGCCAATGAAAAAGTTTTCTTTATTGAAAGACAACAGGACCAGGTTATGGTGACCACATACTCACTTGCTTCTATTACATAATTTTGCTTTCTAAATTTTATTTTAAAAGTTCTCTTATTCCTCCCTCATTTTGAATCATAAAATTTATGTTATCAGAATAAAAAATGAACTACAAAAACCATAGGAACTCAGCCACCAGAACTTAATTCATTATTTACAACTCGTGTGTCTCATTCTCTGAATTAATATGCACCGAACTTTGTGTATTACCAAAGCGTGAAAGAGCTTCTTTTTAAATTGGTTCTCTTCTTTTTATGGGTTTCCAGTGAGATGGAAATACTACTTACACTAAAGCAAATGCTGTACTCACTAACACTGAAGTGTAGGATGTTTTTGCCTTTGGTTTATGAACAGACATACTTGCAGTGTTTTTAGCGCTATCACCATCATCCATTCTAGGAGGATACGAATGAAATAGCTAGTTTTACAAATCCAAGCTTTCAATACCAGAAGGATCTTCCGTCCTAACGAGTTAGTCTCTACATTTTACCAATGAGGACACTAAAGACAGTTAACTTACTGCCTTTTACAAAATAAATGCTCAGTGAATAATCATTAAATGATGACCCATCAAAAATAGTGAGAAGCAGAGACACAACAAAATCCCGTGTCTTCACAGCCTCTGAAATGGTTTAGTAATTTCTAATCAGCAGAGATGACGATTAAAACAGATAAAACATCAACAATCCACAGCCTGAAAACATCTCTGTCGCACACATAAATAAAATGAGTGAAAGATTTTTTAAACAATTTCAAGGGCAAAGTATGAGAAGGAGATACTAGGACAAACGGGAATGGGAAAAATCAAAGTATCTATATTAGACTTCCTTTCTCAGTGGATCATTTTTAGTGAGCTTTGCTAAACGATCGATATCAGTGTTGAACCAAAAATCTTCATCAATGTAAAAAAAATGCATGGACCTGGATGTGGCTAAAGAATGATATTGATTATGTGGCTGTGATTAATTTGGTCATTTGAAGAAATCTCTAATAATCCATTGTTTTTGATCCTCAGTGTCTACTGGAAGCTTCCCAGGAAGTAAGGTCTATGAAGAGAATTAAAAATTTAGGAAGGATTCTTGAATTCAATTTAAGATAACAAATGAAAGCACTGTGAAAAAGAGCATAGGGGAGAAATTACACAGGTTTTTGAAAACTGCATTGCTGGTTCCCTTTCTGGGAGTTAAAGAAATGAAAACAACTGTATTTCCAATATACCAGCTGGGTCAAATGATAACTCTGCATATGCTCTTGGGATACTTTATGCTTTTTGGTAAAGTTTTCAATATTGAATGGTGCTTGCCAAAGAAGAAAAAGAAAATGAAGAATTCTGTGTAGGTGGAAGTATAAAACCATGTGAAGCAAACCTCCCTCCAGAGGGAGCAGGCACACATACAACTACACTAACATGCTCATCACACACTCTCCACTCAACTATTCACACAATGAAATGTGGAGGAGAAACACAGGTAAACAAGTCCCAAAACTGTTCAAGATAAGCATCAAAGTTGGTTAGACTATTAAGCTCTTGTTGAGTTACTCAGAAATCTAAGACAATAAGCCTACATCAAAATATGTAGTTATTCTTCTCTATGAGAAGAAATAAATGATAAGTTGTTGTTTTCCAATCTATTTTCAAAGCCCATTACAAAAATAAATCAGTGTGTTCTTTAACAGTTATAAAAACAGTTTAAGTGATCATTTTCTCATGTAATTAAAAAAAGAAATAGATATCCACATTTACTAAAATCTGGGTTTTTTTTTTTTTTTTTTTTTGTTACATTCAGAAACAAATACAGTTCACTTTTCCTTGGTGGAAAGTATCAGTCTATTTGATCATTCTCTTCTGACTATAAAAAATCTTTCGGAATGAAATTCATTGGCAGTGCAAAAAAAAAGTCCATAAAAATAAACTAATGATTGAGTTAAGCATTAGATGAGTTCTCTGCCAGGTTATCTGCAAGCACAAGACTCTACTGTCATATTAGGATACACTTTAAGTACCACATTCTTATTTTCATCAAAGAATAAGATACTGAGCGAGGACATCTTTTCTGGTACACAGCAAGGCTCAGGAATTCCAGGAATGACTCCCACAGCTCTCACTATACTCTGGATTGTAGCATGATTTGATGGCTTCAAAGACTAGAAAAAGAAATGAGAGAACACATAAATTAGGTGGAACTTCTTTTTCACTCTTTACTAATCACTCTCTACTTTTCACTCATCACTAAAATGCACATATAATAAATTCATTTTAGCAACTTAATAAAGCCCTGACATCATTGCACAAACAGCCCTAACCCCCATATAACCACCAACAAAATTGTTGTCATTAAGTGTGTGCTTTGTGCCAGGCATATTATATATAGGACCTTTAATCCTTGCAACAAAACTACTTTTCTTACATTACACAGGCAATGAAACAGTGTCTTACAGTTTAAATGATATATATATATAAAGTTGAATTGCTAGTAAGTTGTATCGTGAAGACTTGAACCCAGTTATCTAAGCAAGAACCATTTAATTAAAAAAAAACTTAGTCCTGGGTCTCCCCGGTGGCGCAGCGGTTGAGGGCTGTGTTGCCAGGCTGCCCGCAGCCTCTGCACTGTCAGTTCTATCCCTGGTTGCCAGCGAGGGTCCCACATGGCTCGCAGACCTCTCCTGCAGCCCGCTGCTCCCCTCAGCAGTGTACTTCATCAGTCTGCCTGTTCTGCTCTCCGCTCTGGCTCTAGTGAATTCTCTCACCCTCCTGCGCTTCTCACTGTACCCCAGTGCTTATATAAATAAAGAAATAAATCTTAAAAAAAAAAACTCAGGCTAAAAAAAAAAACAACTTAGTCCTCAGGTATTAATACATTAATATATTAATATGTATTAATAACATACATTAATATGTATTAATATTTTTATTAATAGATATTAATAAAAATATTAATACATTCTAGATTTTCTAAATAATGCATCCATCTAGAGTGTTTCATTGCAACAAAAGTGAAGTGTGCTTGAGCCTATACTAAACTTAACCATAAAGAGCCCTAATAAGCACCCTGTTTAACATAAATATATCATTGTCACTGAAATAGTAATATTTTATTTGCTGTCCAAATAAAACCAAATAGTTAAGGAGTATTAATTTATTTAATAACCACTCTTAGGATAAATTAAGCAGTAATTCTCTATATTTAATCACCTCCCTTTAGAAGCATAAACCGAGGTTAAGAAGACCACAATATTGGCCACTGGGGGTCACTGTTACTCCATGGGTTCAGACTTCGGCGTATCAGCATTAAAAGTGTTCTAAATGTGGGTCATATCCCCTGGGATTAATCTAGGAGGCCTAAGGTTATCCCACGAATGTCAAAAGTTTGACCAAAGGAGCTTGAGTAAAATCTGCTCCTGAGAAAATGCCAAACGGGACCGTTTACATTCACATGAAACATATGGTTTTATTTAGAGAGTACTGCACAGCTCTGCTCCACATTGAAGGACAGTCACTTTTCCAAGCCCAGAATGTTCCAGCACTGCCAGACTAAGAACTTAATGAGAGATGCCACAGTTTTCAACTAGTTCTCCCCAGTGTCTCTCACAGGCAGGTGAAACCAGTTTTGTTTGAAATACATTTAGAAACAGAAATTTGGTAACTTGCCAGAGATCACATGTAGTTCAGGAGTGGGATTTAGGCCAAAGTTCTGGCTTTTTAATTTCAGATTTGGAGCTGTGTTTCTTATGGCTCAGAGGCACCTCTACCCCGATGAATTGGTGCTCTAATTTCAGACTCCTTGCATTCCCAGTACGAGAGATTAGAACCGGTTAAAAGGTAAAGGGTAAAAGGGTACTCAGAAAGCAAGGAAGAAGCAAATATATAGAAAGCTGACGTCCTCTGAAATAAACAGGATTCTTTTTGGTAGTCAAGGGGCAAATCTGATTTGCCACATACCATCTTTTAATTTACATGAGAAAAGCATCCATACATTAGACTCTATTGTGAATATGCATAACTTACATGAAAAAAATCAGTCTTTGTAATAGGCAACTGTTTTTTACTCTTTCCTAGAGACTTTCAGTATATGCAATAAAGAATAGTTAACATTCAATTAGTTTTGCAAAGCAAGGTGTTCTCCCTCTAAGGAAAAGAAGTCTGTGTTTTCTTGTACCTTTCTTATACCTTATTTCCTGTACATATCATGTGTCCTGCAATATCAATAAAATCTACATAACTGATACAAACTGTGCTGGGTATTATACACAAGAATTCAAAAGCCGTGAATGTTGTTTCATCAGCTTTGGCAATTTCTAAAGAAAACTTATTCTAACATCTATTTTTCTCATTCATTTAAAATTATTAAGGGCCTCCCTGGAGGTGCAGGCAGTTGAGCGCAGTGTTGTGAAGCTGTCCACTGCCTCTGCAGCACCGGTTCAATCCCTGCCGGCCGCAGAAGATACCCACATGGCATGGCAGACCTCTCCTGTCTTGCCTGCTGCTCCCCTCAGCAGTGTATTTCAGTCAGTCTGCCTGTTCTGTTCCCCACTCTGCCTCTGGTGAATCCTCTCACCCTCCCGCACATCTGGCTCGTACCCTGGTTCTTGTATAAATAAATCTTTAAAAAAATAAAGTTATTAATCATCCATAGCCAAACCCTTTTTGATAAAGGTGCTAAGGATTTTTTTTTAACTACAAACTTTTCATATACTGTTCTATGTTTATGTTTTAATGACTCCTGTTTAAATGTCAAAGGGAATGAATCTGTTTAAGTAGGCTTCCATCTATAAATCCTGGTCTACTGGCTATTTCTCAGTACTTAAAGTAGTGTACACTCCAGGCAGTGAATAAGTACTTGTTGAATGGATGGAATACCAAATAATAATAATAATAATAATAATAATAATAATAATAATCTACCCTCCACTTTACCTATTTCTGTGGAACAATTCCCATCAACAAAAAATAAAAGATTCTGTGCAAATGACCCAGCATAGATATGGAAAATATTCATGGGTGTTTCCTAGGAAAATTCCTGTCCTTCTTTTTTAAGCTCTAACTCACAAATGATAGATTCAGAAACTATGAACAGTCTCTGGTGGGCTCACTGGAATTCAGGCACAGGCCTTGATTCTGATTTGGTGTTCTTATCAGGAACTTCTCAGCTTTCTAGGGAGTTTCCCCCTTCTTTTCTCACTATGGAATCCTCTGATGAAGCTGACATTACCCGGAATAACTATGTCATGCACAAAAGATCCATGCAGTCATTTGCTAGTGTGAAGCTTATTACCAGTCTGTAATTTCTGTTTTTTTGAGTTCAAATCATGTTTCTCAGGAGGTTCTTTACCTAGCTTAAGCAAGCTGTCAATGACCACTGCAAACCTGTGTTATCACGCTCATTAGTCCCTCTTTTTAATGAAGGTGAGAGATGACAGATGTCAGCATCCATTTAGGTCATTTTATGTTTAGGAAACTCAAAATATGAAGATTTAGGGTTTTTCGCATTCACTTTCATGAACAGAGGTTGATAAGAAAACTCAGGAAATTTAGGGTGTGTCATTTTGAATTCATTATGTGGATTTCTTCTCTGTATAGGATGCTTGGTTCAAAGTGGATATATTCTTCGGCGCCTAATTCTGTGTCTTTGCTTTTCCAGGCTTTTGCACCATTCCATGCAAAAAATAACTTCATTCCTCTAATCTTTCTTTGTTCTCCTGGATCTCTGTCAGCAACAATGGCTTAATCATTTTCAGTTGAAATCTCTGTTTTCCATCTTTGCTAAGGTGGCAAGGAGAGGCAAACACATACGACTTGGCTTTAGCTATATGGGTATTTTTCATCTCATGGCAGAATTCCAGGGGTTTCTCCCTGGGAGAACAGATTGGCTGTAGTGACTAGAAATCAGAAAAATCCGAACTGCCGTGCCTGTGAATGAAATCTGCAGTGGTCAGGCCCACACCTGCCAAGCTGCGTATGATGTCCTCGAGTTGAATTTGATTACAAATGCATTAGCAGGGGAGAGTATGTCATGAGCTAAGAGCCTCATTCCTGACCTGGGCCTTGGGGTTTTGCTCCACACTCTTCCAGTCCAGCCCACATGGGTGTGATAGCCCAGAAACTATCTAATTGGAATCAGTGAAAGGGCAAAGCCTGGAATTTGGGAAAGGCAGAGCACAGCTGTTCTGAATTACAGAACAGGTTGTCGACTTTTGCAGACGAAGCACCCCGCCATATAGAGCAGGCTTTCACTCGGGAGGCCAAGGGAAGGAGGGCCAACGGGGGAGTCTGGCCTGGGAGAACTTTTCTCTGGGGCAAAATGTATATCTAAAGCTTGAAAGTTCTTTGGCGCCTCAGTTATTCCACATGTGTTTGTTCTGATCTGGTCAGAGACCCTATTTTCATCATCTATTGCTTGGACTACATTTTCATTTAAATAGTTCACTTTGGTTGCCATAGTGGCCACTGCTGATAACAGAGTTGCTCCTTAGTTACCCCTGCCATAACAGCTTCATATTCCTCCACGTTCCCCATTATTTTGGTCACTCTACCACTTGAAAGACATAGGCCTAGCAGTCTTAAAGGAAGCACTGTTTAAAAGTTAAGCAGATCCACACAAGGTGATGAGAGACTGAGAACTCTATGTAACAGCCAAACTTCCACTCTCAACTTGGCACTGGGAAGTCTCTACTCAGAGAGAAAACTCCACACTTATCCTTGTTATGTCTCCCTGGAGTTCTGATGCCATTCCAAGTTTTGACAAATATTATGATGAGTTCTTTGCTGCAACCAATGCTCTCCTATTGCATTACTCTCCTGTGAAACTTTACTGGAAGAGCTTATAGGACCTTGAACCTGAAGAGAGAATCCTATTTTAGGCTTTGTGATGTTTAAAAATGACCAGAAATATTCATAAACTTTTTCTTGTCTTACATCTTTTATTCTCTGAATTGTTTGTGATCAGCTCCCCGCCCCCTGCCATACACACTTATTCTTCTATTCTCAGTCTCCAAGTGATCATTAATAATAATGTCAACAGCAAATTTATTACCCAGTACTTGCAAGGTGCTTCACTAACTCATTCTCCTACTGTTTTTATCACAGAGATAAACTGATTATTTTAAAATTTTTCTATAGTACCCAATCAAGGGCAAAAAAACTAACATGAAGTTTGATTAATTTTTACCTAATATATCTGGTAAGATAGGAAGCAAAATTCAAGCCAAAAGGATTTGACTCTTGATTTTGCAACTCAAAGTGTGGTGTGTGGACCAATAGCATCAACAACACCTAGGAGATTGTTAGTGATGCGGGATTTAGACTCCGGAGCTACTGCAGCACAACCTCTACATTAACAAGATCCTAGGGCAAATTGCAGACACATCAAGGTTTGAAGCCCACCTGTGCCAAAGAATGTCATTCTGCTAAATTAACACACTTCTGTCCTTAAACTTATCTCTGCTATTCTTGTTATCCCTCATGAGTTTTAAAATTATTATTCTTTAGGTCTCCAGGAACTTTAATGAAGATCTACTGAACCAACAGCAAGATTTTGAACATTGAAAATCAATTGGAGTGGGAGGAACAAGTTGGCATATTGTGGAGAGGTGAAGACAAGGCCAGGCCTCCAAAGTTAAATGAGAAGCTAATCAACTGAGTATCTCCACATTTGCACATTCTTCTGCGTTCTGAAATCCACAGTCAGAAGGAAAGAGAAAAACTCCTTTCCCAGGCTACCTGGAAGGAATTACAATTTCGGAAAGTGAGGAGAATTAGTTGGAAGACTAAGACCCACTTAAAATCATTCATGGGTTTAGAGAGATTTAAGAATCCATTTCTGCTTCTCCACACCACAAAGCAGGTCGCACTGTAAAATAAGTATTCATCACTGCCTGTTACATTTGGCATTTTTCTTGTGTGTTTTTACAGACTGTCCCAGTTTAAACAACTTTTATTTGATCAGTGGAATGAATATTTAAATGAGATAAGGATTTTATAGAATTGTAAATATATATAATCCTTACTTGTGTCTGGGTTTACAAAATATGGAATCAGCACAAGATTTTGGAAAGAGAAAGCCCTTTTGAGGCTTTTCTTGTCCTTCTGAGAAATTTAATGAGAAAATGGGATTTCAATCAAGTGCCTGGCCCCGAGGCTGATCTGGTTTGTTCAGTGGGCCCTTGGCCTTATGTGTGTGTGACACTTAGCATCCCAGTGACTGTAGGAACATGAATCTTCTATTTTAAAGATCTACAAACAGATGTTGGTCACTCTTTGAGGCAAAAGGTTTTTTTTTTCCCATTATCATAAAATAGCAGAATTTGTTCACTTCAAGTTCTAAAAAACAAAAACCACAGTTCTGTTCTTTCTCTGAATTCTTTTGCTTAAGCCACTTTTCATTTATCACAGCGATTCAAACTCTTACAAGCTGAGAATAGAAGGGTAGCAACAAGCTTACTTGAAGATCAGAGGATATCACAATATTTTACTAACTTTAAATCCAAAGAGAACAGTCACTTGGACTTAGTGTGCAAGATGGAGTTAGGACTAGGGGAAGCTTCTGAAAAGATACTTGTTAGGATTCTGTGTACTGATGTAATAAAGTGCAGTGCTCTTGATTTTGGAAGAGACACAGGTAAGCTCTAACAGGTTGAAATGGGTCTTGGAAGAAGTTTGCAGAGTCATCCTATCCTCGTTTGCCTTCCTTTAAGATGCTTAACAGGGAAACAAATGATATTGAGTATCTGGTGGATTTCATGAAGCTAGTTACCTGGCCCAACTTGGATTCTAACCCTCATGGGGCCAATTCATCTCATATGGAGCTATTGATCAAAAAATAGTCTGTATTAATAGGGCATTAATCCAAAGAATCCTTCCCTTTGCTCCCACGAGATCCATTCACTCCCTGAATTCCCCCCTGAAAGATCACCTTCTATTATTTGGGGTTTACTTATTGTAGATAGGCATAGAATCACATGAGCCCAAGTAGCTGAATATGTACCTTGTTTGGAAGCAATGCAAAAAAACATATTTCACACACAATTTTTCTCATATCCTTCTCATAGCAATGCTGATTTCATATTACTTTAACAACCATTAAAGAAAAACCAAGCATAACCATATTACCTACTATACTTTAGAATGCAATAAATCAGGGTCCAGATGGGTTTGGTAAATGAAAACACACACTCGACTTAGGCAGGGTGTCTCTCTACTCTATGGAAGTAGGAAGAACAGGACAAAGAACAATGGCTACCTTTGGCATGGGGAACTGGCATGCTCCTGAGCAATAATATGCATCAAAGGACTTGGGGGAGATAATCCATTCACTCCAGCCGATATCTGCAAAGTCCACCTTCAGGTATCTTCTGGCACAATTCCGAGGTTCAATCCATTGCTTTCTTCTTGCTTTCTTCAGGGTCTGTTCATCAAATTGGAGTGTTTGGCTCTTCTGGTGAGGTCCCTTTCTCTGTTTCTTTTTATTCTTACTCTTCTCAGGGGGCTGAGTCTGAAGGGTCTTGTAAGGTTTCCTGTCCTCCCACACCTCTTCCTCCTTATACTGATATTCTGCACCAGGAAGCTCATTGTTCTGCAGAGGCAGCAGGACCCCTGTAGAGCGTTTCTTCCTCCGTTCAATAGAAAGGGCAGCCCTGATATGGCTGTCCAGTTTGGGCACAGCTCCGGTGGGGAAATTCCGGTGTCTTTGTAAGCTTGATACAACACTCTCTGGCTCAGAAATGGCAGCATCATTGGCATACACCAAGATATAAGGCTCAGGAAAGTGTAACATTTTCTTTGGCAATTGGTGTCCTTTTGTGGTAATGTTAAATCCTATAAGAAATTCCTCATTTTCCTTGGCTTTCCTTAAGAGTTGAGTGATGTCTTTAGACAGCCAGGACACAAAGTCTCGATGAGGTTTAGGTACATCAACGGAAAGGTGACCCAGGAGTTGACTTAGGTTTCTGTTGGATTTCAGGATCCATGCAGAGAGATCAATCTGAAAATGTTTCCTCTGAGCATGATGTAAACATCCTCGAGACAATGGACAACTTAGGCTGATGTTTATTAGCTCTCCGATATAGAAATACAGTGTGGCGGATAAAATGTTTTCAGACTTGGTTAGAGAAGTCAGGTTAAAAATATGCAGTCCCTTACTTTCCAGAATTCCTAGGAAGGAAACAAAAAAGGGAATAAAAGGGAGCAATGAGACCCTTATTTCACACCATATATAAAATTAACTAAAAAAAAATGAATTAATAATTTAACTATCAGAGCTAAAGTAATATTTAAATATCAGAGCTAAAGTAATGTTTTCTTAGAAGAAAACATAGGGGTAAAATACTCATTGCCTTGAAGCAATATAACACCCAAGTTGAAAACAACAAAAGACAAAAAAATAAAATAGTGATAAAATGAGTATCACTGAAATTAAAAACTTTTGCACATTAAAGGACATTATTAAGAAGGTCTATACAGGGCCTCCCCTGGTGGTGCAGTGGTTGAGCACTGGGCTGCAAAGCTGCCCACAGCATCTGCAGTGCCAGTTCGATCCCCGGCCACCAGCGAGGGTCCCACATGGTGCACAGACCTCTCCTGCCAGGCCCACTGCTCCCTTCAGCAGTGTATTTTGTCAGTCTGCCTGTTCTGCTCCCCGCTCTGGCTCTGGTGAATTCTCTCACCCTCCCGCACTTCTGACTCTACCCAGTGCTTGTATGAATAAATAAATAAATCTTTGAAAAAAAAAGACATTAAAAAAAAAGGTCTGCACAACCTGCAGAATTAAGAAAATATTTTTCTATCACATACCTGACAGCATCTATTATCCTGAATATACAAATTACTCTTACAACTCAACAAGAGACTAACAAACCAAGGATAATTGGGCAAAAAGTGAACAGACCCCTTCAAAAAAGAAGCACACAGGGCCAATAAGCTTATGAAAAGATTATCAACATTACTAGTCATTATTAAAATGTAAATAAAAACCACAACAATGTGCATTATAGGCTGACTACAATAATAAAAAGCAAAAACAAAACAAAAACAAGTGTTAGCAAGATGTGGAGAAATTGGAATCCTTTTATATTGCTGGTTGAAATAGAATATGGTTCAGCTGCTGTAGAAAACAGTATGGCAGTTTCTGAAAAAATTAAGCATAGAAACGTCATGTGGTCCCAATTTCACCCCAAGGTATATAGCCAAAAGAATGGCACAATGTACTCAATCAAGTTCATGTATAATCATGTTCATAGAAGCAATATTTACAATAGCTGAAGATGAAAGCAGCTCAAAGTCCACCAGGGATGAATGGATAGACAAATGCTGGTATATCTATGCCATGATGCATTATTCTGTCATACAAAGTAATGATGGATTGATGTATGCTACACAGCAGATGACACTTGGAAAACTTATGCAATATGTAGGAGCCAGATACAAAAAGTCACATGTTGTACAATTCCAATTTCGTGAAATGTCCAGAATAGGTAAATCCATCAACACCAAATTTAGATTGGTGGCTTGGGGTTACGCATAAAGGAATGGGGAGAGACCACTGAATGATAAAGGATTTTGCTTTAGAATAATGGAAATATTTGGGGACTAAATAGGTTTGGTGATTGCACAACATTGTGACAATATCAAACACCACCAAATTCTTCACTTCAAAATAGTTATTTTACATAATGTGAGTTTCATCTCAATTGGATGAAAAAATGATAATAAGAGTAAGCATAAAAGCTAGAAAAAGTTTAAAGCAAAGGTCAGTCATTTTCAACAATTTGCTCTTTCCTTTACAAGCAATACAAATGTGTGAAAGTGTTAACACAATAGGATACTTAGTGGCCTGAGGGATGAAAAATGTAGCTGCTAGCTATGAGATTACAAAGAACTATTCCTACCAATTCCATACATTTTGTGTTTGTTTCTTCTCTGAGGCAGTGTACAACCTTTGGTTACAAGCAAGAGTAGAATTAGATTAACCTTGGTTTGGAGTCCTGGCTCAGTCACTGAAGTGTAACTTTGGGTAAACTAGTGCTCTCATTCACAAAATGGAGATAATACCTACCTATCTTGTCATCAGAATTAAATGAGTTGTGTGCATTGCAGTTTATAAAGGGTCCAGTATTTTTTTTTCAAATATAAATCACCATTGTTATCAATGCTGGTTTTAACATTACAGAGATTTCATCATCTACTTGTCTCACAAAGTTCAGGGGGCAAAATGAGGGTGGGTGGTGAGGCCCCATATCCTAATATTTCTACAATATAATTGAAAAACTTAGTCACACATTCAAAATAATCAATGGCTGTTGTGGAACTTGTTTGAAACTTATGACATTTCCATAAATTTTTAAGAGTAGCATTGCTTCTGTATACCTTGACAAAATGACTGAAATCGGTTACTTGCATTTCCAATTCTTTAAATTCAGAAATGAGGGTAACAGAACAAGATTATATTATGGGCAAAAGCTAAATCCTTTTCTTAGATCTAATGAGTTAGTGGTAAGCCTGAGGTTAGACTAAAGAATCCCCAGTCCTGGGATTGGCCACCAGAGATTGAGCTTTGCTCTATGCACTTGTTCCATATATGTATTTGTTTCAGAAACATACACGCAATCATGAAATTATGTTCTTGATCAAAAACATATTTCAGTAAAAACAAAACATTTTCATAAAGACGTGGAAACTTAAAAAATGAGTTCATTGAGTCCTCAAGCGCAAGGGAAGTGCAATGGGAAACATATTTTACTCATTTTTAACATTGTGTGAAGGAAAAGGAGGAAACTGCCATTGGTGCACATTTGTATAATCCATGACACCAGGATAATATTTTACAGACCTTTATAACAAAGCCATGGCATCAGGATTGTTCAGAGACTCTAGACTTAATTCATACCAGTCACCATAACATATACTTTTACCCAAAGTTCGTGTAGCAGATGGAAATTTAAAATGGAAGGGCTAGAAGTCACTCTGTTCTAAATATGTGGCAACCAAATGGTTGCCAAATAAACATATTGATAGGGAAGAAACGGACTCCAAGGGAAGTGGATGGTAGTGTTAATGGGTAAACTGATCCTGCTTCTTTCCCCCACATCATTTTGCTTCAAAATGTTTCCAGACACCTTGTGACCTGATGTTAACCAGTCCAACTCCTGTGTCTAATCTTCGATATCCTCTCTTGACTATCTCAGAACCTGCCTTACTGCTTCCTCCCTGCCTTTTCTTTTCATTCAGTATGTTATTTTGAAAGTCAAAGCCCTATTGTCCAGTCCCAGCTCCACCCACCCAATTGCTGTCTTCAGGCAAATAACCTAAGGCTGTCTTGCATCTCAGTTTGTTCATCTGTAAAATGAGCCCAATAGTACCAACTGCACAGCATGAGAGTTGTGAGAATTGACTCAAAGAATGCAGATAAAGCAGATGACACACAGATAAAACTCAATGAATGCTAGTAACCTAAAATTTCACCATCCTATGATAATGACTAGCCACTTAAGTTTGAACTGAGAAATGCAATTAGTGTAAAATTCACACTGGATTTTGAAGATTTAGTATAAAAATGAAAGTGAGGATCACATCAATATATTTTATATTGATTATGTGTTGAAATGATAATATTTGGATGTATTGGGTTAAAGAGAAAATATTGTTAAAATTGATTTCACCTGTTGCTTTTCATATTTTTGTATGTGGCTACTAGAAATTTTAAATTACATATGTGGCTCACATTTGTGGTTGAAATTAAATTTCTGTTGGACAGTGGTGGTCTAGACTAACCACCAATGTTGTAGTCATATAGTCTAAAAGGAAAGAAGACTTTTTTCCAAATGCAGTGAAAATTAGTATTTTGTGAGACATGAATATACAAACCAAAAAGTAAATTGGGCAAAAGACTCCATTTTGGGGGATGCAACATTCTTTATGAAAGATATATAGATAAAAATAATGTTGTTGATTACATTTAAATTATCCCCACCCCCCCCCAGCTCTGGCTTACTGATTCAATCAGCAATCAAAAGTTTAAGGCCGGGCCTCCCTGGTGGTGCAAGGGGTTAAGCACAGCACTGTGAGGCTATCTGCAGCCTCTACAGCACGAGTTCGATCCCTGGCCTGACATAGAGTTACCCACATGGCGCAGACCTCTCTTGTCTTGCCCGCTGCTCCCCTCAGCAGTGTATTTCAGTTGATCCACCTGTTCTGCCCCCGACTCTGTCTCTGGTGAATCCTCTCACCCCCTGTACCTCTGGCCTGTACCCCAGTTCTTGTATGCATAAATAAATGAATCATAAGAAAAAAAAAACTAAGGCCAACAAATTGCTCTAAAATAGAGTTAAACAGGCAGTTTGAAAACATTTAATAGCAACAGTGACTGATGGCATGGCTTCAATTGCATTAACTGTGTATTGCAAATACACATGTGCTATAATCAACAAAAAACAACAACCAAAGTCAAACAAACATCAGACTTAAACCAATATGAACTGAACATTTTATTGGTGCTGGAGACTTGGCTGGGTCTTTGGGCTGGACCAATGACCACTGCCGTATACGAAGTGTCAGGGAAGATGGTTCATCAGCAATATGCAGGTAGTTATGCCATGGCAAAGCAACTTGCTGTTCAAGGTGTGAACTACGCTCTTGGAATACAGAGAAGGGAACAATCCACTTGGTTAATGTAGGGGAGAAGGATGCTGCAGGAGAAGGAAATCTCTGAATCAGACTTTTAAGAATGAAAGGAAGGGCCTACCCGGTGGCGTAGCGGTTGAGCGTTGGGTTGCGAAGCTGCCCGCAGCCTCTGCAGCGCAGGTTTGATCCCTGGTCGCCGGGCGAGAGTCCCACATGGCGCGCAGACCTCTCCTGCCACGCCCGCTGCTCCCCTCAGCAATGCACTTCATCAGTCTGCCTGTTCTGCTCCCCGCTCTGACTCTGGTGAATTCTCTCACCCTCCTGTGCTTCTGACTGTACCCAGTGCTTGTATAAATAAATAAATAAAATCTTAAAAAAAAAAAGAATGAAGGGAAAAGGGAGTGCTGGGAAGGGGAGCTTGCAATATGGAACTCAATGCTGGATACTGGAAGTTTTTGCATAAGTCATGTTTTCAATAGAAACTTATGAAAACCTTCCAAATTAACCCAGTTATTTGAATTTCTGACATGTAAGCT